TAAAATCCCACAGCACAGTCTCTTGCAGCACAGGTTACAGACTGAGTGGGTTTTTCCAAATGTCACTCATTTGAAGATTCACCAGGACCAGCACATTGATGATGAGTGCTGTACTCTTGTGCTTTTTAAAAATTACTCACAAAGCTATGGATTTCAACAGAGGTCTACGTGACACTGAATGCAGGCAGCTGGGGCAACAGAGAGAATAAGAAGGAACGGAATATTGGGGCCGTTCTCAGCTGCTTAAGCAGAGCACAAAAGCCCAGAGACTTGCTTAACTGTCTTGGGCTTGAAAATGCATCTGCTGGAGGTGTTATTTCTGAGGTGGTTCATTATGGATTCCTGGGGTGAGGTTGCCCAGGAAACTAAAGCACAGTGGGAAAGGGAATAGAGCTATGTAATTAGAGGCAGGATGGCGAGGACAAGGGTGAACATTAAAGAGAGAGGTGGATGGATCCTGTGTTTCTAAAACTCCTGGGGTTCCATCCAAGCCAGGAACTGGGCTGTATATGTGTGACAGACTGGGGGCCCTGTCTGCTGCTTCAGTCAGTCTTTGCTTGCCTCAGTTCCTGTACATTGTGCTTAGGGATTTTTACACTCTCAAAGCTCTTGAGAGGAACATATAGGAGAGTGGGAGCAGGCACAGGGGCAGACCTAGTAAATGGATGGTTCAGGGAAGGACACGGAGCCTTCCTGAGCTAGCTGGCCTGGCTCTTACCTATCCAGGTGTCTGGCTGTTGCTATAGCAACAGCTTTAGCCAAGAAGATCCTTTCTCTTTCCTGGTCATTCCAGTTCATTGCAGCCTCCTGGATCCTGCAATGTCTGCTTTCTTCCTCTTCCCTTCCTTCTTCCCTCCTTCCCTCTCGCCTTTACTGGCTTCCTTCCTAGCCATATTTATAAACATTAATTGAGCACTTGCTATATGACAACTACTTCGGGAGGACACAAGCAGGAGAGCCTGAGTGATGCAAAAGGTTAATGCACTGTGATACTAAGCAAAAAAATTTGGATGTTTGAATCTACCTAGAAGCACCTCATAAGAAAGGCCTGGCTATCTATGTCCCCAAGATCAGCCATTAATTTTGGAGCCGAGATCTATTCTGACACACCTGGGGTTGCCAGGAATTAGAGTAGACTTGATAGCAACAGATTAAAGGTATTAACATGCTGTTTCCAGACTCAAGGTACAACCATCTTAGCAGTAGTGTTCAATAGATAAACACATCCCTAGCTCCTGGTGTGGTGCTGTGGGTTAATGTGCTAGACTGCAAAAGTCAGTTTAAACAGCAAGATTGGTGGTTCAAGCTCACCAGTAGCTCCTTGGAAACCTTCTAGAGGGTCCCTATGGGTTGGAACTGACTCGACGGCACTTACCAACAAAAATCTAGTTACTTAAGGAGCTCTGGTAGCATAGTGGTTACGAATTGCTCTGCTAAACTCAAGGTCAGCAGTTTGAAACTACCAGCTGTTCCATGGGAGAAAGATAAGGCTTTCTGCTCCTGTAAGGATTTATAGCCTCAGAAACCATGTACAGGGTCACTATGAGTCAGAACCAAGTCCATGGCACACCACCACCACCACCACCTAGTAACTTACGGGAATCCTGGTGTGGCACTATGTGTTAATGTGCTGGACTGCAAAGTGGGTTAGAATGGCAAAGTCGGCAGTTCAAGTTCACCAGTTGCTCCTCAGAAATCTTATACAGGGTTGCTATGGGTTGGAACTGACTCACTGGCACTTAACAATAACAACAAAAATGACAACAACAACCTAGTTACTGGAGTCCTGGTGCTGCAGGATAATGATCTGGACTACAAGAGCAGTTTGAGCCACAAGGTTGTCAGTTCAAACCCACCAGTCGCTCCTTGGAAACCCTTACACAGGGCTGCTATGGGTCGGAACTGATTCGATGTCACTTAGCAACAACGTCACCACCCAGTCACCACTTGTTCCATATTTTTCACTCCTTTGCTCCCTAGTTTGATTTTAACACAGCAGCCAGAGAGAGCCGATACAGTAGAACCTGTGAGAACTGGAATTGGACACCACTGACTTGTTTTCTGGCTTGTGAGAGTTAGTTCTGTGTTCCTGCCATGTTTAAGACCGAATTCTCTCATTGATTTTTGCGTGGATGGGGCACGTAGACACAGTTACTCCAGCAGAGTTTACTATGCTTCTTCTCTGTCCCTCACACGTCTGAGCAATGTAATGGGCATGATTCACAGTTAATCAATTAATTAGTGGATTTGCTGTTGTTGTTATATGCCACTGAGTTGGTTCCGACTCATAGGGATAGTGTATAGTTTCTAAGGGTGACTGGTGGGTTTGAACTGGGACTTTATGGTTACCAGTCCAATGGTACACTAGTGGCTTTAGCCTCTGAATAGTATTTACTGAGCTCTGTGCTAGGCCCTGCAGAAGGTTCTGGGAGGCAGAAGAACAAAGCTGCCCCTCACCGCCCCTCCCAGTCTGGCAGGGTCCAGAGAGAAAGCCAATTTTGAAGAAGTAATTACAAGCATGAGAGTATCATGAAGAGGAAGCACTGAGTGCTATGAGAACATCTAGCTGGAGGTACCTAGCACTGTCAGATCAGGGAGGACCTTCCTGAGAATGGGTGTTTCACTGAGTCATCATGATAGACACAAAAACATCCCTGGGAAAGCCACAAATGGAATTCCAGTGGGTGCAGATTGTACCTAGTCCTCACTCAACCCGGAAAGCATAGGACAGACTTCTGCCTTCTAAGAAGACTGCAGTCAGGAACAGAAATAAACATTCCTCGTTTCTCTTTCTGCCATTGTGTCAGTATAGAACCAGGAGCTACAGCATGACCTACCCCAGGTTACTACCTTACTAAGCACACTGTGGGACCTTGCTCTGACCCTGGTGGAAGGTGAAGGAGATTCTCAGGGCCAAACCATCTCTTCCTTGGTGTGATGTTGTTGATGTTAAATACTGTTGAATTGGTTCCAATTCATAGCAACCTCGTATAGGCTTTCCAAGGAGCAGTTGGTGGAGTTGAACTGATGACTCTGTGATTCACAATCTGGTGCTGATCCTACAGCGCCACAGTGTGATTGTTGTTGTTAAGTGCCAAGTCAGTTCTGACCCATAGTAACCCTGTATAGGGTTTTTGAGGAACGATTGGTGAGTTTAAACAGTGCTGACCTTGTGGTTCAAACTGACTTTGCAGTTCAGTGCATTAACCCACAGCACCTTCAAACTACTCAGCATCCTCTAATTTTGATAACCAAGTCTGAACAGGAAATCAGTGTTGCATGGGCATCTAAAAAGTCTGGACTGGGCAGCTCCCCTTGCTAGAAAGTGTCCACAAAGGGTCAAGAGAAAAAAAGTGCTCTGTGAGGAATGTCTCATCACTGTCTGTACAAGGACAATGGGAGAAGAAGGAAAAGCCACAAAATGTGCATAGGAACAGCTAAGGAGCAGCTTCCTTAACAGCCTGCCCATGGGCTCTTCCACCTGGGGAAGCCTGAGTGAGATGGAAAGCAGCATCTAAATGAGATCCAGGTCTTCTTTGTCCTTAGGTGAAGGATGCAATGATTGGATTGCAGTTAGCCGGGCTCTAGCCTGAAACGCTATCAAGCGGCCCATATACAAGGGGGCTTCAAAAAGTTCAGGGACAAATGAATGAAAAGATAATGGAATTTTCCACCCACTTCTTGACGCCCTCTCACATATAAATGTGTCTGAGGCCTGAACTTGTTAGATGTAGAAATGTCACACAGTGTAACAAGTAGATTAAATGGATAGCCAGTTGTTTTTCATTACCAGGGTCAAATTTACAGAGCAAATTTTTATTCTACTAAGAAACTTTGTGCAAATTTCTACTTTATGACAAATATATTTGTTGGACAGTGGCTCACCATTTATGAATCTAACCTGAAGATTGATAGTTCAGATTTACCCAGGGGCAGGCTGGTGATCTGCTTCTGTAAAGATTACCAAAACCCCAACCTGTTACCAGTGAGTCGATTTTGAATCATCGCAACCTTATCGGACATAGTAGAACTGCCCCAGAGGGTCCCCAAGGCTGTCATCTTTATGGAGCAGACTGTTGGCTGTCCCATCTTTCTCCCACAGAGTGAGTGGCTGGTAGGTTTCACCTTCTGTTGAGGCGCTGAATGCTTAGCCACTGCAGCCTCTGGAGCTGTTCTCTTCTGTCACACACACACACACACACACACATGTCACATCATGAGTTGAAATGCACTTGACTGCAGCAGCTTTTGTGGTTGTTGTTTACTATGTGTCCTGCTGGTGTTATGGGATAAGCATTGGTGTGCAAGGCCAGCAGTTCAAATCCACCAGTCACTTCATGGAAGCAACAGTAGGCTATCTGTCCCATAAAGATGTATAGTCTGAGAAACCTATATAAGGTTGCTAGAAGTCAGAACCAACTTAATAGCAATACTTTTGGGTTTGGGATATGTGTATCGGAGTCCTTATGTGGTACAAATGAGTAATGTGCTTGGCTGGTAAGCAAAAGACTGATGGTTCAAGTCAACCCAAAGATACTTCCAAAGAAATGCCTGCTGATCTACTTCTGAAACATCACTCATTGAAAACCCTGGGGAGAACAGTTTTACTCTGAAATACACAGGGTTGTTATGAGTCAGAATCAACTCAATGGCAACTGCTTACTGCTTTACTAAATCTATGGCATCAAACAAGGCACCTGGAGAAACACATAGACTCCGAACAGAATCTCTTTCTTTCTGGTTAAGAGTGTAGGATCTTCTGGCATCTTCATGCAGATGTCAATTGTTGTTAAGTGCTGTTGAGTTGGTTCTGACCCATAGCGACCCTGAATAGGTTTTCCAGGGCTGGAAATCTTTACAGGAGCAGAAAGCCTCATCTTTCTCCCACAGAGCAGCTGGTAGTTTCGAACTGCTGACCTTGCGGTTCACAGCCCAATTCGTAACCACTACACTACCAGAGCTCAGATGCCAGTACGTGTCCATTTTTGGAAGGCAATTACCTTGTCTTCATTTAGAGCAGGGATTTTATTTCTCCGGAAGACATGAGTTCCAATAGACACGCTGAGGGCCCTGTAAACACCTTCCTCAGCATCTGGGTGACAAGCAAAATAGAGCAGCATCTGAGTGTAGTCAAGCTGGGGCAGATCATTGTCGTAGTCAGCGAACAGCTGGAAGAAGAACTGTCAAAGGAAAAGAATTTGGTCAGAAAGAAAAATTGTTCTCTCTGGTAGTCAGTAGATGGCAAGGAAGAATTCCTCCAAGATTTCACCTTCTAAGGATTAGCAAGGGTCCTTTCAAAGAATCCCATTAGTAACTCTAACATATCAAGGGTGGTCACTAACAGAAAGGAGTTTCTGGGATGTGCCAACATTGGTGCCCTCGTAAGTGTCTGAGCAGTGCTGGTCTGAATGAGGCTTTGCCGTAACCCACGTGAAATGACTGTGGCTTGCACAGGTGGCAGCAATGGCACTGGTGAGAACTGGTCTGGTGCTTGGTAGATTTTAAAGGTAGAACAAACAGGATTTCCACAGGGGCTGGATGTGGCATTTGAAAAGAGCAAAATTGGGAATGACTCCCAGAGTTTTGGTTCCAGCAACTGCAAGGATGGCATTTCCATTGGTTTACGTGGAAGAGGCTTTAGGTGAAGTTGGGAGAGTTGGGTGGCAAGGAGAGGAGATCAGCGTCCTGTTTTGGATGCAACTGGAGCAACTGGAACAGTCAAATGAGCAGTGCATCTAGGAGTCTAGAGGGTAGAACAGAGCTTTGGAGTTGGGGTAGCCATTTGGGATTCATTAGCAAATAGATGGCATTTTAAGCTACAAGACTGGCTTTAACCAATATTAGCCAGCCAGAGGGAATGGAAAAATGCTATGTATGTTCAATGAACAGAAACTGAAAAAGAACACAATATTGTAACTTTTAATAGACCAAAATGCAAACCACTTGTCTCAGAAAAAAATCTCTTAAGGGTTTGAGACAGTGGGGACATCGCTTTTGGTGCTAACTGTGTGGAAAGACAGACAGCCAGGGCACATGGCTGAGTCATAAGGAAGTGTGTTGTCACTATCAGTAGACAGTAATGTGATTGCCAGACAGAGCTGTCTCATGGTTCCTTTTCTGGGTTCATTTGGACTTCTCATCCAGCGCGTGGGTCTCTGAGGTCATCCAGGCCCATAGACGGTGACTTTTGCCAGTCCTCAGGAGACCCTAATTGTGTGTGACTCAGAGACAGGGCCCAGATCACAGAGAACAATGATGACAAAGCATAAAACCAAAAACCAAACCCACTGCCATCGATTATAACTAGATGGGGTTTCTGAGACAATAAATCTTTCTCTGGTGGAGTCGCTGGAGGGTTTGAGCCATCGACTTTGCAGTTGTGTGTTAGGTAAAGCATAGGAGCTGGCCAAACCTTAGACTACAGTCCAGGCTCTCACCTTAAGAGAAGGCACAGTGAGTCATTGCAGAATTGGGGGTGAAGCCCAGGATTCCTAATTCCTGGGGACATTTCTTTTCCCTGATTCTGTGACTCTGTAGGATAAACACTGAATCGCACAGTCTGCTTGAACCTCAAGGTCAGTGGTTCAAACTCACCAGCCACTCCTTGGAAACCCTATACAGGGTCACTATGAGTTGGAACTGTCTAGACAGCACTTAACAACAACAATAATTACAGAAAAAGTACTTTTTTTTTTCTTCATATTTCTCTTTGAATACCTTTCTTTTAGCATGTTAACCATTAACCACTGTTGAGCCAAGTTAAGCTAACATGGTTAGCTTCTGCTTAGCTAGCACTTACCCAAGGCCTTCTGGGTATCAGTCACTGCTGCAAGAGCAGCATATATGTGAACTCACTCTGTGTAATAACCCCACCACTCCCTGCCTGCTTTCTCCTACCCCCGTCTCCTGCTAACATCTAGCAGAGGTGCTCCAAAAATATACGCCCAATTGAAGGAAATTGCTCACTTTAAGGTTATAACTGGATTCATATTCAATTTTATACTGCAATTTTGAGCTAATGGCTCACTGGAAATTGAACAATTGATATGATATTATACATGGTTGTGGTGTTTAAATCTACTATTCAACTTTCCCATATCTTATTGAACTTGGCTGTGTTAGGAAATCTCTATTTTAAACATTTACACTGAAGTCAGAGTTTTTAGATTTTAATTTTATTTGTGGTCTCTGGGATGCAGACTCATGATAAAATTATTATTTGTAATAACAATTTGAGAACAGCAAGTTCTGATGAAACACGGGCAAAATGACAGAATCTTGTCCGAAGCTTTTGGAATTAGAAGGGTTCTAGTAACATAATCTAGTAG